ACACACTGTTGATGTTCGTGATTTGCTCCCCTCGGCTTATTTCCTATCTAACTACTATCTATCATAGGACGACAAGTACCGCGTCACCGCATATGACAGCATAGTCACTGTCGTTGAGCTTCCAGTGTCGATATTGGACTTCAAGCTGTGCGTACCATCTGTATGGTTCCACAAAAATCAATTGACATGGTTTCTTCAGCCTTACAACTTATGCCATCGTCACGGCTCTCCTCGGCGGGCTCGCATATCTTGCATACGCCACTTTCTTCCCCCAGGCTAAAAAGCCCCGCAAAGCGGCTGTTAGCGCTCCTGTTGGCACTGTCACTGCGACTGCTGCTGGTGGCTACCAGGAGGAGTGGATTCCTGAGCACCACATCAAGAAGTCCAAGACTGGTGGCAAGAAGAAGAGTGGAGTTGCTACTAGCGGTGATGAGATGACGAGCGGCGCAGAATCGGATGCCATCAAGAAGCGCAAGTCGAAGAAGTAGGATTATGTTCTTGCTAATAATGTTCGGAGGCCCGAAGGCAATTATATTGCTGTAATTTCATGCGCCGTACTTCACCTCCTGCCTCTTTTCGTACACGTCCCGTTGAGTACTAAGAATCGGATGTCGAAGAACATGTTCCAGTTGCGTAGGTTCAAGGCTTCACTCGCAAAATACCTGATAGGCATAGTCAATCTGCGGCATGTGGGCAAGTCCAGCGGTGTGTGGGCAGGTCCAGGTCTATTCGCAAAACTGCATGGTCTAGTATAGGGTATCTTCCTAGTTATACGTCCACCTGCTTGAAACCCTTGACCTATCATGAGGTCAGCATTCAGTGTAGATCCTAGTGAATACTGACAACACACGCACCTTGTTCTCCTTCAACATTGTCAGGTACTTCTCAGAGAGCCACCTGCAGTTCTCGTAGTGATTCACACCCTCGGACCGTTGGCAATTCTCGAGCTCCTCTCGCACCAGCCGAGCCTCCATGGCCTTCACCCAAGACTCGCGGACGTGGTTGTCACGCTGCTCTATCTTCGCTGGGAAATTGCAGAACTTCGCTTGGTTTATCTCATAGGTCGAAGTAGGATGAAGCGTACCTTTTATCTGAGTGGCTCTCTCTTCTTTGTCGGTGGAGAACATGGCGATGTGTTGGATGCACGGAGTGTTTCGCAGACTCGGAACGTCGATTGCTCTGTGGATGGAAATGGCATGTTAACCCCTAACTCTGATGTTCAAACTTCAAAATATGTTCGAAACATGTCCTGCCTGCTTTCGGGCCATATTCTTGCGTGGAAAAGCAGACAGCTGGATGGCGTCACATTTATTAGATCACTAGTATAAGATTTCATAGCGATTTTATGTCAGTCCGTTTGCTGTAAAGTTTAACTCCAGGCATGAACTGTATCGGTGTGCCAACTAACCTACTGTTATATGATGCACTACGCACTCGAGCCCCGCACGGATGGTAGTAACACTGCTGTCTTTGTCGGTCAAGAATAACGGTTTGTTGCCTACTGAATCTCGTACAATAGATCTACTCTATTGATCATTTGCGTGGTGTTCTAAATCTGCTACTGAGCCATCCGAGATGGAGTACTGCAAAATAGTGAGTTTCTGTCATGAAAAATAAATACGAGGCTTACCTGCGCGGATGCCCTATTTTCCGATGATATATCGGTATTCAATGCATGTATATTTCTTGCGGCCATTGCCAATGTCGTGGTTGGATCTGGCTCGGAGACTCTTCGGCCTTTGATAGCGTATCGGGAGTTCAGCGTCGCCAGGAGTGCATTAGCAAGGACTTGACAAGATTGTCTCAGACGAAGTCACTGATTCAAAAGAGACAACATACCTTTGCAATATATAAAGTCAACCGCAAGGGTGTAGTAAGGGAAAGGAGGTGGGAGGTACGACTGGTGTGGTGATGAACAAGCGGCAAATATCATATGGAAATTGCCTCACGAGTATCCACTCAAGGAGGAAGCAAATTCTGCGGTTTCATGTCAGCCAAGAAAGAAAGAAAGCCTCGGCTTCGGACACACGTTATAAGCAGGAAACGATTCGTCAAGAATAGTAGTATCCTGTCTATGACAGACCTCGACCTGTTTACGATGAGTTCGGTAAAAGTTCGATATATAGATGCAAGTAAAACGTACTCTTCATCTTCTGATCGGTACCGATGCAGAGAAACAACCATAGCCCCTATGACTAGAACGTCAGAAGCCATGGTGAGGACCGAGTACAGGGTGCTTAAATATGATGTTAAACGTAGTTGCTTGATTCGGATGGTTCTCAGTGCGAACATGAGCACAGATAGCAAATACGGACGTCGATTTTGCCTGGGCCCTTGAACAAACTTGAAAATCGAGTCAGATAACACTCTCACCGTTAGAAAAACACCACTTACTCCTGAGTCATAAAAGCTAAACCATTTCAATGTAAAATTTGGATGAATATAGATATATATGTGGATGGCTCACTGAGGCCTGAAACTAAGAAAGAAAAGTGTTAGCACATGTAAGCGGTGCGGTGAGATGAATCCCCTTGCCGTAACCAACTGTACTCAGGCCAAACTATCAAGGCTGGTGGTCAATTTAAATATCAGCAGTGAAAGCCGAAGCAACGTACGGCGCAAAGCACCACCCATTTCCGCCACTTCCTCCAGCGCTCCAACAAGCGATATGCGCGGGAAAGAAAAAAACTGCTTCGAATTAAGCAATGAATCCGAGTCGATCTGACGATGGATCCACACATTACCATTTAACAACAGCCGCCAAAGCTACCTATAGGCTGATTAGTTATATGTCTATTTTTTTTTTGGATTGGACACACAGTCAGAATTGGCGATGCCTAAACAATCGGAATAGCATTCAAGTTAGCCTGTGAACAAAATAATTTCCAAGGTGTGGACTCACGTTGACCGACCTAAATATTCGTATTGATAAGATCTTGGATAGATGGGTCTCAAGAGTATTGTGTGACTTGCCAGATGTTGCTATGTTCGACCGGATTGCTGTCAACCTGGGCGATAATGTAAGTCCACAAAAGGCAGCGAGTCTGATTGCTTTCATTACAGCGTAGCGATAGTTAATGTGGACCACTTTTACTCTTGTTAAAATGGCAAAATGTCGCGGTCGGAGCAGATTGACTCACCGAGCATGGAATGCAATGTATCCAAAATGCTACAGAAATTTATTGTAAGCGCCTCATTAAAAAGTCGAACAAGCTACAGCCTACCCACAATGATACCCAAACCAAAGTTTTGATACCATTAGGGTCGGTCCGGTAATCTGCACAGTACGTGTTCATCTGGGAACACAGGGTCACCAAAGATCAGGCTTGTGTGTCCCTAGAAAGATCGACTAAGCGAACCTGCATTACGGTGATTCCATAACCGCTGATTTCAAGGTAAACGTCGGCCAACACCATGCCGATACATAGTGGAAGAAAACATACCTCATCGATAGCATGCCGCCGATGGATACACTGGCGCCTAGAGATCGTCAATATTGTCAATGTTAATACGGAAGGCATCATATCGAGGATGCACGTACTCAGCGTTTGGTGGATATTGGTCATATTTCTTGCAGAGCAACGGGCGCATATATGGGTTACAGACGAGATCAGCGGAGAAAACACAAAAGTGCGTGGGTTTGAGGGGCGTGAGGAGATATCCACCGTATCTGCCTCTATATATAATTATCAAGCGAGCGGTTAACAGGCCCGCCCGGGACAGATCTAAACAGATTGAATACTTAGCACTGAAAGTAGGCTCCGAATCGGCTTTGGTACGCTTTGGGCTTGGAATAATTAGACCAGGGCAAGGAACTTGTTTGATGCGCTATTGAGCGTCGTGAAAGCGGCTTTGTGAGCGTGCTCGTTCTTTCAGTATCTGACGAGCGCGTCGCATTCAAGTTGTGTTCGAAATTTAAGCTCTGCTATATTTGGATTCAACCACGATATTTATCGGCAGGTGACTATAGGCGCACTTAGAGTTCAGCTAGTGTTTGGTGGCGCAAGAACCCCTGCGTCATTGAAAAACAACATCAGAGCCTCAAGGCCAAGCGCAGAGAGATTTCGTCGAACGTAGAGTGTATAATATCATACATGCTGCGAAATTCAGCGTGCCAGCATGGGTTCGGCCCATTAGATAACATACTCACAAGACATTTTATACCAGAGAACTGATATCAACGGAGTCCGTAAGATTTGCACACCTACTAGTGAATCGGGGAGCATGTTCACACTACCTTTGAAACAGATACAGCATACTTCTTACCTGAGCAAAAACGTCCAGCACTGTGGCATCATAGCCGCTGTTGCCAGAATGAGCACAGGCTTGAAAGTGCGAAAGCCGATTTCCTAGCAAGTACTGGTGCAAGATAGTTGATTTGTATTCAGAAAAACTGGAAGGACGACGAGCAGAATCGACAGGGTCCGCCATGGATGGATTGGATAGCAAAAGTTATAACGATAGTGGTTCCGGCTTGATAGGACGTTCCAAGCAAATCATGTCGGCAGAGGAAAGCAGATCGAAACATCCATTGGATGGAGTCGCAAAGCTCCTACATCCGTGACCTTCCCGAACTTAGAGAAATAAGATGAGATAGAACCCGCCAGTCAGGCACTTTGAAAAAAGACTCGGTCGAGACTCGATAAGGGCCAGATAGTAGATTGCGGAAAGCGCAGCTTGCTGAGAGCCAGCTTGCGGGCGGTTCTGACAAAGAACCAGGATCTGCTACAGATCAAGCACAGCACTTTGGCGAGTGCCTGCCGGGTGAGGCATATGAGTCGAGTCGAAAGGGGTCGTTAGGGAGTTTCTTGATACCGCATATATGCTGAGCCGGTGCACAGAGTAGGAGAGTAGAGCTCGAGTGGCAGCGCTTTGCAACTTTTCTGTGGATATGTCGTGGTTGTGGTGGCGGAAAGGCAAGTCTCGGATGTCCTCAAGCAGCAGGGCACAGTTAAAAATCTCACAGCTCTTTGAAAGAAAAGTACTGAGGCAAAAAGCAATGCATTAAGAGGGAATCGAACCCCCGGCGGGTCGAGAATGACAATCATACTCGAATGGCAACGACCCAGGTTACCACTACCCCATTAATGCTGATGGAAGTGGTGCGCATCATGGAATAATATTCGTACTTCCTCTTCGTGTTCCTAACTGTGCCGTGAGCGGCACGACTCAGGGCACTGCGGCACTGCGGAGCACTGCAGCCCCTTGCAGCCCATGCGGTCCAACCTGGGATGATGCAACTTCAGCGCGTCAGCCGGCAAGCGATCTGTCACCATGCGCCGATCCGCCCAAACTCTGGGTTAGCGCGACCCAACCTGCCCTTCAATCTGGTTCTCTTCATCCTCCCATCATGGTGACTTCAAGGGACTCCTCCCGACTCCGTGCAGAGTCACGATCGCGACCCCGTAACGCGCGCTCTCCCTCTGCTTCCTCAGTGTCATACATACCGACATTCGAGGCGCTTATCTTGCCAGACGGAGACGTTGGGGAGGAAGCGACAGAGCTTCTTCAGGACCTTGTTCATACTCACCACCACGAAGCAGAAGAAACGCTTATCGGCGAGGAGGCTTTGATGCCCGAAGAAGAGGAGGAGCGTGCAGCGCGTGCCAGATTGCCATGGTGGAAGCGGCCCTCGCCATATTGGTGAGTATCACCCTACTTTTGAACGATGAAAGACCTTCCTCATCTCAGCTTGTAGGTTGATGGCTGCTTTGCCATTCAGTGCAACTTCCATGGGCATGACGCTGGCACCCCGAGTAGAGATTTACACCGTACTTGCTTGCAGCAAACACAAGCCGGAATACGCGAAACACCACAGACTGGCCAAGGACATGGGTCTTCCATATGAGGACTACGAGGACGACGCTTCTCCCATTCTTCCCATGCCTCCAATTGCTTTGGGTACCGCCCCAGTCGATACCGATATCTCTTTTTCGTCGAATCAAACTATCTACTTCGAACCACCTGTCTCTGTCATGGAAATGCCAGCCAAACAGGTTCCCGATAAATGCGCCACGGACCCCGAAGTACAAGCTGCGGTAGCGACTTTGACGCTGGGTAAACCATACGCTGGCCCTGCAACATGGAAATTATCTGACTCTATTCACAGTTCTCACCATGACACAGGGGATTCTCGCTTGCCTTACCACCGTATGGTGGGGGTCCGTGCGTGCACATTTCTGTCAGACCAGCCCAAGGATTGACACAGTATTTACAGTTGTCAGACCGACGCGGGCGTAAACTCGTCATGGGATTCTCAGTCTTTGGATTACTGTTCAACGACTCCAACTTCCTTACGGTGTCCTTATTCTCGTCGAAGCTCCCCGGGGGATACTGGCTGCTTCTTGTTGGCCCCCTGGTCGAAGGCCTCATGGGTGGTGAGTATTGCTCCACTACAAACCTCCGGTCATTTCCTTAGGGTTGCTAGGTATGACCTCCGGAGTTGCTGCAATGCATGCGTACATCTCGGACACAACCGAACCAGCCACGCGGTAAGCTGCCACTTCCTCCCGTGGTACCGCTTCTTACACACCGCCGCAGCTCCCGTACGTTCTCGCTCTTTCTCGGCCTTCTTTTCACGGGCATAGCGGTCGGACCGACGCTCGGCGCAATTATCATACGACTCACCGGGAGCGTTCTGTCGGTATTCTTTTTCGCTGCCGCCATGCACTTCTTTTATGCCCTTCTGGTGTGGGTAATCCTTCCCGAGTCGCGCTCTGTCCGCCAGAAGCAATTCTCGCAGATGCGCCACAATGAGGAGCAGAGGGGCCTGAAGGAGGCGCAGGGAGCAGGCATTGCGCGGGGGTTCCTGGTCCGCGTTCAGGCTGCCTTTGCATTCCTGCGACCCCTGCTTTTGCTCGCGCCCAAACGCGTGCAAGGGCCGAATGTTCTCAAGGCCGGCAGAAGGGACTGGAATCTGACATTGCTTGCGATGGCGTACGGCATGATACAGGCCATAATGGGTTCTTATACCTACAAATTCCAGTATGCCTTGGCCAAATTCGGATGGACGTCCGAGTCGGTGGGTCCCCTTCCAGCCCTCCGCGCACTGAGGTGCTGATGCACACAACTTATAGATTGGATACTATCTCACGCTGATTGGCGTGACACGGGCTTTGTACCTGATGCTCATCCTCCCTCTGATCATCAAGCTCTTCAAACCAAAGACAGCAGCGCCCATTGCCCTCGCCGCGGACACCCCCGACAGCGACGCCCGCCCCCAGGCCAGGCCCGGTTCCCACTCGGCGGTGTTCGACCTCAACCTCGCGCGCGTCGCGGCGTTCATCGATGTCGTGAGCTACGTGTTCATGGGCCTCGCCACCACCGCGCTCCCGTTCACGCTGTTTACGCTCCTGGGAAGCCTGGGCACCGGGTTTGCGCCCGCTGTGCAGTCCGTCGCGCTGGAGCTGTACGCCCGGCGCGGCGAGACGGAGACGGGCAAGCTGTTCGGCGCGCTGAGCGTCGTGAATGCGCTTTGGTGAGCCATCTTTCCATCTGTTCTCGCGGTCTCTGATGGGCCTTTGCGGTGCATTCAGTGCACAAATTCTAGGCCCTGCGATATTCGGATTCGCTTACATCAGAACCGTGGAGATCTTCCCGCCTGCGGTGTTCATGCTGTCGGCTCTTCTTGCCGTGCTCGCTTTCTGCGTTCTTTGCTCCGTGAGCATGTCTGCGCACGCGGTGCCAGCAACTCACGACGCCGAGGAGCAGGCGGGGCTGCTGCGGGAAGAGACGCTGGTTGACGGGGAATAAGCTGGTGATTAGCGATGTCTTGGTGGTGGGATTTTGATTTTTTGAAAGAACTTTTTGTTGTACCAGTATCAGGCGTAGGGTATTGCCAGATACACCATAAGATACTTTATATCGCTCTATTTTATTTATTGCACTTGGGACGCCCTCTTGAATGTTACCTTGGTTCTGACATCTCCTTCCTCATGTGCCTCACCCACGAGCCTGCCCAAGTCCTGCCCGAGCGAGTTAGATGGCGGCCACTGGTTAGACGCTCGCGGCAAATTTATATACGGCAAGTATACGATGTCACGGTACTTGGCATTGACCATCCTCTCCGAGCCATCACCTCCACTGGTATATCTGACTCCTAATCCTACACTCAAACCCGGAAAACTATTTACTAAGGCGAGGCCAGACCACAAAAGGCAACGGCAGTCCAGATCGAATTTCGTAAAATGATGTATTCCCAACTGATATGCATGCAAAATATCAAGGCTGTCCACAGTCGAAGCAAGTGCCCATGGAATTTAGCTATTGCTCCAAACCCACCAGTTGCAACTCTACAGCGCCGTCTTCGTTGATCAAGGCAGTGGTAAACTGCACATCGCCCTCTGTCCGCTGATGGGCCCATGTGAGAATTGCTCACAGAATATATTGACTACTCACACAATCTGTAGGTGTTCTGTCAGGAAACTGATATCCCGAGTCGAGCATGGCGAGGACAGAACTCGTATACAGTGCGCACATGGGCATGTCAAATATCACGCTGCTACATGACTCATATGTCAGCATGCCCGTTTTTCAGGTACTTGGATATTGTACGCACGGTCCTTTGAGCTGAGCGGGCCCCACGTCAGGTCCACGTTGAAAATTGGTGCGAAGGCGACTCACCACAAAGAGTACCAGGCTTCCGAGGTTCATAAGCGATGTCAAGGCTCCTGTGGCCAATGTGACTGGAATTCGGTGCCACCGTCATAAGCTCAAGAACGCATGTGTGAATGGAAATAAGAAACCGACCAGAGAGGATTTGATTGACAATCTGATCCAGAAAGGGTTTACCAGTCTTGCGTTTATCATTCTATGGAGCAAAAATGAATTTCTATTGTCATCGAGAGGAGCCACATTGCACGCACCAGGTAGTATATCAACGCGATGGCGATGGCGTTATTCGTAACCAGGTTGGCAATATGCCACGCTATGACGATCGAATCAAACTTTTGCCATTCGTCGTACGCGGGAACGATGTTGACCGCAATTGCCGAGCCGACCGCCAATACTGGTGGATCAGATGAGCTTTCACGAACTGACTGAGAAAGAAACGGAGCTTACAAAACGCGATAATTGTGGACAAGATGATGAGAGTTGTTAAAACCTTTTGCTTGAGTACGAGGTGTACACGCCAGCCCAAAAAGAGCTGCGCGGTTAATTGAGCGAAGCCCTGCATGATAGTAGCGTGAGCACGATATCACTCGCTTTCAATGTCTGCTGACCGTTAGATATGTGCCTAAGCATCCCGAAAACGTTCAGTTTGTTGATTTTTGCGAAGGAAAGCGGAATTTTACCAAAAGGAAAGACTAGAATATTATAGAGGGTCAGTTAGTGCCTTGCGAGAACTACATATACATACTCCATAGGTGCTTATAAAAACTGGAAACATCACCAGTTTCTGCAAAATCGTGAGTTATTCGGCTAAGACGCTGAAGGAGGCTGGTGGGACATGCGACATACCACGATCGGTGACAAGTTGGTTATAAAGGAACCAAAAATAAGGTGAAATGAACAGCGTGGTTGTGGAGAACATAGCGGCGACCTAGGGAGATCAGCTCGTCGTCTTGCTGAGGCCAATATTCACACACCATATACTGAATCCAGAGACGTCCACCTACGCCAAATTCCATCAGGCAAAAGCGCCTCCCTCGATCAAGACATGATATACGCACTTGGTTTCGGTCGACGCACATACTGAAATATCTGGGCAATACCGAATCCGTACGCGAAAAGGCCCAGCGTCAGTCCCAAGAAGAACGATCCCATCCTACCATTCATCATGACGTTAGTGGTGTGCCTCGATGCCATCGCAGCTGAGGGAGTGCGTACGCCTGCTCTGCAGCATTTACGGATCCAAAGTCAGACATGCGCAGAGAGACCTGTGGTGGGAGCGGCAAGCATGGGGACTTTGGGGACCAATAATAAGGTGATTTGCGTTATTACATAGTTCAATAAAGAACTATACCTCCGGGACTAACCCCTAAGCCCGGCTTCATTATTGTTGAATTTATATTGTCAGAACAGCTGACAACGCTAGCGGGATGGAGATGTCTGATTTTGAGTAAGGGTGAGGAAACAGGTAGAACAACCTC